GTGATTAGGTAGCAATATGAACAAGTGGTTAAATTTTGGTTCTCAAGAAAAAGAGAGGTACTAGTTTATAACTTTGTATAATATAATGAAATGATGAAAGTATTTGATGATTTCAGTTAGTAATATTTGTATTTCTATCGTATACGCAATTATTTTTTATGACATGAAAGAGAACAGATTGGGATTGGTAGCAAAAAGCAACAAAAATATAGCCACATAAGTGGATCAAAATGTTTTGTAAAAAAGCAAAAAGAAATCGTAAGTTTATGATAATTAACTTATTCCAATGAATAAACTTTTTTTATCATTAAAAGGTAAATATGGAAATTAACATTTATTGTTCTGTTTTAATAGATTTGATTGTTTCAATACATGATATTAAACTTATCGAAAGTTTTAAACTTAGTTACATAGATGATATGTATAAAAAGTTACTGTTTACGTATATTTATGCCTTTATTATCTGGTTGTTATTATTGTTATATTTTAATAGTTTCGATAGCTTCAATACTTGATATTAAGCTTGTCTGATTGATTGAACTTGATTTCTATGGTTGATATGGGAGAAAAAGTTGTCAGTTATGTCTGTTTGGAATATTTTTGCATATAAAAGGTAAATATACAAATAAATTTTTGATGCCTTTTAACATGTTGAATGGCTTCAATCCTTCATATTAAACCGGGAGAAAATAATTGAATTTGGTTTCCATGATCAATATGTGTGAAAGCCTAAAATGCTTTTATTCTTTGCGTATGTTTAAGACTATTGTGTTGTTACAGGGCCAAAATATAAATAAAGGAGATTAAAATTATTCAAAATTTTAATACTTGATTGACATGATTGATATGCATAAATAAGTTTACGGTTGATATGTATCCTATCAAATAACATATATTTTTGTATAAGAGAATGAGATGGGCAGTACAATTGGATGTGTGAAACTTTTTCACGTAACACACAAAAAAATGGATCTTACATGAATGTCGAAATACAAGAAATTATGGTAATTTGTATCATCTATTTTAACATAAAGTAAATATTAACTCTTTTTAACATATAATCAATTAATCATTAAACTTTATAGTTGTATATGAAAAATTCACAGAAGAAAGCCAAAGAAAAAATGGCTGCTTAGATTGAAGTAGCATCTGAAGGTTTTTTCAACATGCAAGAAATGAAAAATCAAATATTCATAAAAGTTGCTGGAAAAAAAGGCATGGACGAGTCTGAGGTCTTGGATTGGGTCTAACACCATTTGCCTACTGTGGATATAACTCTTTGCAATTTACACTATCAGTAAGTCAATCTTTGCGAGACATTTCAATATTAAGAGGGGAGTTGTAAACTATGCAACAACATTTTCAACAAATGAAAGCAGAAAGAGAACAAGAGCGTACCAAAATTGAAGAAGAACGTGCTAGAATGGTGCTAGAGCATGTAAAATTTCAGCAGTTGCATGATCGATTCGATTATCTTATGAATTTTATGCAACAACAATTTTCAAAAAATGATCTTGGTGCTCCATCAACTCAGGTATTATATTTAGTAAATATTAAAATTTTTAAATACAAAATAAGCATACAATGAAGTGTTAAAAATTATATGATATTATTCAGTAGGTTGTTGAGCACACTAGTGACCAAGATGGAAAATTTTCTTTATCAATTGGCAGCCAGCAAAATGTATGTAGTCATCAATTTCATACATTTTAATTTTTTATTTGGTTAATGTATTTACAATATTTGAATGTTATTATACTAATTATTAAACTTTGTATTAATTAGATGTATATTTAAACGTGAATGAAGTTAATATTAATTTCAGTTTCTGAATTTAAGCTCTTTACTAAAAATAAAATTTATTATAAGAAATTAAAAAAACTATATTTTTACATAATGATGGCGTTTGTGTTGGGCAATGCCGCTAAATGAATAATTTAGTCGCGTTTGTAGCATAAAACGCCACTATAAATAGCAGCGCTCTTTTCAGCAAACGCCGCTAGTTAGGTGAAGTTTTTTTATAGAAACACCATTAAAGCAACGGTCTTTTTCTCATAATGCCACTGAATTAGTGGCGCCTAAAAGATAAAACGTCGTAAATATTGAGGCGTTTTTAGATTCAAACGCCTCTAAAGTAACGGTATTTTCTGTTACAAACGCCGTCAATGCAACAACATTTTTCTCATAAAAACGTCATTGAAATAGCGACGAGTAAAAGATACAAACGCTGCTAATATTGAGCCATTTTCATATTCAAATGCCTCTAAAGTAATAGCATCTCAAAAATATAAATGCCGCTAAAATGGCGGCTTTTCAAATATAAATGCCGTTAATATTAAGGTTTTTTTTAAAACACCGCTATTTATCGCGACGCGTGTATAAGAGGCACTCTGCTTTGCGTTTTTTATCAAACGCCGTAACCTTATAGTAGCATTAATAAATGCTGCTAAACGATAAAAAAATGTCGTTAAAAATCAAAATTCCTGTAGTGAGTATCTAATTAAATTGACGAAATCATTGATCGTGGCTGTTAATTAATATTTTGTCATAAATTTTTTTTATTAGAGAGAGAGGAGATTTGAATCCGACTCTTCGAGCATGGAAAAATACATGCATCATTTGATTGTAATATTTTTTAAGATTTAATATTTTTTTCATTTTATAGAATGAAAAAAAAAAGTGTACAATGATTTCTTCATTTATTTCAGATTTTAAGGGAGAGAGAGAAAGTCTCACCAATAAACAAGATTTGGTATTAGTGGGCAACATCGAGGCTATTTCGACTATCATTAGCAGGCATTTGGTTGTGGTCGCTTCCCTCCTAGATTAATAGTCAAATCAAGCCGTTAGCAGCGATTTGAAGGAGCTTTAAATTCTCCTTGAAACTGGGTTTGCTCAAGTCTTCAATCGAAGCCAAGAATATTAGCATGAAATTAGGTTTGGTCAATTGTCCTCAAAGAATTGCTCAAAATCTCCTAGAAACTATCCGCACAAATATTCAAATGAAAGGAATCCAGTCATGCATTTGATTGTTCAAACATGCAAATTAGTTAGTAATGATAAATAAACTTTTGTTTTTCTAAGATGAAAATTGGTTTTAGAATCGTTCTTATCAAGGTAAGCAACGCAGTAATTGAAATGTATCTACCGGCAGAAATTCTCATCGCAAGAACAAAAAGGTCCAATACTCATCTACTTTAGTGTGTGAAAAGTCTTGAGAAAAAGGAATATGAAACATGTTTTTCCAAAGTTTTTGATCGAGTTTCATGCATCGGTTGTTTGTATTGTCAAACTTTTTCAAATTAATATCTACCAGCATGAAAACAGATTCCCATTAGCTTCATACTTGTTTCATTTATTACTACTTAAAATTAAAATAATTAAAATAAATTTTTTTTTTTTTTATGATCTAACGAACCATAATACATAATTTATTTATTTATTAATAATCAATGTTGAACTCTTAGTTTTAATAATGAGATTTAAACTTCATTTGAATCAAAACTCACGTTCTGATGTTATGCAAATTTGTGCCACCCCCAACTTTTAAATCCAAACAATATTTATGGAGCATTTTGCCGATTTATCACTGGGGGGTAGCGGTTCTAGTCCTCCACTGAATTTGCTTTATTTTTTTTTTCTCCTTTTATCTTAACAACTTCACACTTTTTTTTATTTTATTTTGATTTTTATTTAAAAATTATAAAGTAATTTTATTAATTTATAAAATTAGTTTATTATTATATAATAAATAAAATTTAATTATTTATTAACAAAACTATTATTTAATTTAAAAGCAATTTAATATTTTCAGTTATTTATTAATTTTATAATATTAAATAATTTAAATTTTTATTACATATAATTTTTAATCAATTTCTTTAATGGTTATTTTCGTTTTCATTATAATTTATCTCATTGTTACTTATATTTTTACATCTAATCTCATATTCTATCAATAATTTTAATTACACTATTACAATGATCAATCTGATTTTCATTACTATTTTTAATATTGCCAGACTCAATTTTGCTGCTCATTTAATTGAACTCTTAAATTGTAACAATCTCAAAGTACCAAAAAATCATGAGTTCTAGGAATAATTAGAATATTACCTTAACCTACAACTTCATGGGTAAAGAATTCCAGATTTAATTAATAATTTTATAGCATAATTAATCATGCAACAAACATATGACAATTTCATATTTAATCTTCACTTTTATTACAAAAAAAATTTCATAGATATATTTTTAGATTCTTAATATATATAAACCATAGAATAAGGATAGGAGGAATTATCGTTCTAGCAATTTAATTTATTTTCACATTTTCCTTTCATAAAACTTCTTTTTATAAATGTATAATTTGAGTTGCATGTTAACACTTTCGTTTTAATTTCATAAATTTCATCTCAAAATTCAAACTCATAAATTTGGATATCAAGTTTTAATCATTTAGATGTTCATTTTGAGACATTATAAAGTGATAATGACAATATAGTCATTAGTGGTGTAATTAAACAGACTAAGGAAACGATTAAAAGTCACTATATGATCCTAAACCACAACATTAACTAAAAATCACATCACCAACTAGGTAAAATCGTTATATGAAGAAAAAAGTAAATACATATAATTTAAATTACAATCGCATTGAATTTAAATTTTAACTCAATTAAATTATATTATTAACTTTAAAAAATAATATCCAAAAAGTCAAAAATTAAAATATTAATACCTACAAACCCTTTGTTTATTCTCAAATTGTTGCCTTCTATCTAAACAAAAAACAAATCGCAATCACATTACCCTTTTAGCCCTTTTTTTATTCTTTTTTCAATTCGTTCTTATCCTTATTTCCAAGTTCATCCAACCACGCAACAACCCATTCTTACGACCCACAACCTCTTACTTTTCATTGCAATGATGTGACATTAATATGAAACTGGCCCACTACTTAGCTTAGTGGTCATATTTAACATCCAAATCACCAAAAAAAGAAAACTTGGTAATGATTTAGACATTGGTTTGTCTTAAACAGAGTTGAGTTTTCCCACTTGATTTCACAAAAAAGTCTTCATGAAATTATAGTTAGGAATCTTTATAGAATTTCTCCAAATTCACACCGTGGCTTCACATAGTAATTAAACCATCCCAAGTAGCACATATAAATTGCATACCTTGAAAAATAAACTCTATACAAACACCAAAAGGAATTTCTTTAGTACTAACAAGAAGGAAATGGGGAACAGCATAGGTGGAAGAAAGAAGGCAAAGGTGATGAAAATTGATGGGGAAACATTCAAGTTAAAGACTCCAATTCGGGCTTGGGATGTAGTTAAAGATTATCCAGGGCATGTTTTATTGGATTCAGAGGCTGTAAAGCATTTCGGAATTCGTGCTAAGCCATTGGAGCCCCAACAGGACTTGAAGCCTGAGAAAATTTACTTGCTGGTAGAGTTGCCAAAGTTTCCAGAAGAAAAGGCACCAAGGAGGGTACGTTCTGGAGGAATTCATATGAGTGCTAAGGAGAGGTTAGAGTCATTGATGTTGTCAAGGAGATCGGTTTCTGACCTTTCCATGGTTAGACCATCATCAATTCTAGAGTCCGATGGGGTGGGTCCAGGTTCCAGGAGGATGACAGTGAAAATGAGGCTTCCCAAGTCTCAAATGGCCAAGTTGGTGGACGAGAGCAGAGATGGTGTAGAGGTGGCAGAGAAGATCCTTAATCTTTATATGGAAAACGCCGGCGGCGATACCGGTAATCAAATGCATCGGGAAACAGCATGGAAACCTGGCCTTGGTAGCATTGGAGAAAATTTTAAGGCCAAACCTGTGGTATGTTGATTTTTTTAAAAATTGAACAAAAGTTTTTGTTCCATATTTTTAATTCAATTAATTTCAAAGCAAAAGAAGATCCAGGAAAATTAGGTAACCTACTTTGCTCAGTTAATTCATATCGTTATTAGGTATTCAATAAATTTAGAGTTTAAATTTTAATGTCTAAAATAATTTTTTTCCTCAAACTATGATTAAAAAAAAAAAAAAAACTAAACCTCTCAATGTTGGATCTTTTTGGCCCTACATGTTGCTAATTTGGAGTACATAAAATATATTTAAGTGGTCTTAAATGCAGGAAAATCATTCTTCAAAGTAAGTTAAATGGTTTGGTGCAATGCATTTTATCAAGCAAATTTTTTTGTTGGTAGCTAGCCAGAAGACTGGTCAAGTTTAGAGATATGCAAAATTTGAATAGTTTCAAATGTTTGATTTGTTACTCACCAATTCAGATGGTGTCACTTTACCTAAATCTAGGATATTATTCTTCAGGCAACAAGGAACAATTGAAGAATTAATGAAACTATAATCTGACATTTTCTTTTGTTTGATGTATCAGCATTAACCAAAAACATTGTTTTCCATTATCATAAAGTATAAATCTATCACTAACTCATGAGGTCACTATTTGTTCCTCAAAATTGTCTTGATTTATTTGTGGTTTTTCCCCAATTTTTAAATGTGTTAAGCGTCTAAGTATTTTAAAATAATTGTTTGTTCATAATGTTTGACTTTTTAGGCCAAACAAAGCTAACTCTTTTTCATCATTATGTAGAATTAAATTTTCAGAAATGAAATTTGAAAATTATATGTTTATGAAATTTAGAACTTTTCAAAACTTTTTCAAAAATTTTAATTTCACATTATATTTAGTCAATATTAATAACATAAACAAAAAATGAGAAACGAAAAGAGTTTTTATTTATTTATTTATTTATAAATTTCATGATGATATTTTGAGTCGTTATTACTTAATAGTAGATAAACATAGACAAGGTCATGAATTCCAGACTTAGACTAGGTTTATTTTTAGTGATCAAAGAAACAATGGCCGCATTGATTTATGGTTTAGTTCAATTGATTTATATATTTATTTTTAAAAAGTATTATTTAATAGAATTGAAATATTTTTTTATTTCTAATTTACAATTTTCTTTATAAAAGAAATTGTGATACAGTTCCTGACTTAGCATCAATTAGTAGGAAGCAAACTAAAAGGAACTCAAAATTGACATTTAAATCTATTATTATATGTAACATTCCAAATCAATCAATATATTTTATTCAATCCTTTTTATTAGGTCAAAATTTAGCACACCAAATATATACGAAGTCTTAATTGGTCAAGTTGAACCTTTCTACTATTTTTCTTTTGTTCTTTTGCCTTTTTTAATTCTTTTTTTTTTTTTAAGAGAGAAAAAAAATGCTCATGCTTTTTCTTTGTACTTTTCTTTTGGAATTTCCATCATAACTTTTATGCTCAACGTAAGTCTCCAATTCGAAGAAATTGCTTCAATTAGTTTATGATTCTTGAATTTTTTTTATTGCCTAAGTGCATAGCAATATATTAAAGGTTACTCAAATTTAAATGGTTTGCAAAGAAAAAAAAAAAAAGGAAAAGGATAAAATTCTGAACCTTTTCTTTCGACTTATTCAATGATTTCTCAACGTTTTGACCCCAAAACAAAACAGAGAATGTGCTGCATTAAAAAGGCCGAAACGCTTGACAGCCTACAAAATTTGAACTTTTCAATTTATTTTTATTTTTATTTTTATTTTTATTTTTGATCTATTCTAAATTGATTTTCTATTTTGTTAATTTTATTCTCCATTTCTCATGTTCAAATTTTACTCTCAATACAATATGTGATGTTCAAAGTTGTTTATATTGGGTCAACTAAAAATTACTATTAATATCCTTCATAACAGAATAAAGAAAGCTAAAATAAAATGTTACTAATACTTTATGTTTTCATATTTGCAGAAGCGAGTGAGTTTTATTCCACAAGAAGAGGGAGAAATTCGTTTAGCCAATCAATAGTAGCAGCTAATATTGGATTAAGCATTAGAATTAATCCATGTAAATCTTCCATACATTTATTTCAAAGTTTTTTTTTTTCACAAATCTGTAATTACATGGATAAATATGAAAAAATTTCTGCGTTCAAAAGTATTCAATATTATTTTATGTCTCTCATCATTGTGAGCGTCGAATCACTTTGAACTATTTATTTATTTTTAAATTAAATTGCATAACCTGTTTCAAAACATATGGATTAATTCTTCGAAAACTTTCTTCAATATATGTATATTTTTTTTTGGAAAATTAACATCCATCGAGAGTATAATAAGGAACTAACCATTCAAGATAAGAATCGATACGATTTACTTATAATAGCAATATCCAGGCATTATCTATTATTAATATAATAATAAAATGACAGTTATCTAATGGATAAAGTACGTCTGTAGTTTTTTTAAATAAAAAAAAAATTACAAGTGCAAACTCTTAATTTTATTCTGATATATTTCAATCAAAATTCATCAATTCAACTCAATAAAATCCTGTTTTAATTAAATAAGACTTCGAGACAAACTGCAGAGGTTAACTTGTTTTCGGGAGCTTTACGGTTCAATGTTTTGATCGAGTTGCATTTTAACTCGGATTAATTTAAATGTTCACCTTAAAATTGATTTTTGGACCCCGAGCTGTTAATTGGACTTTGAGTTTGATTAAGAAAGTTTTGAGTCACTGACTTGGATTTTAGTCCGAGAATAGGCTTTTAGCCCAATGAGAGCCCATTTTGCCTTTTTGTACATAGCCCATTTTGTTTATTTCTTTAAATTCTTGTTTCTTTAATTTTTGGTTATTCTTTATTTTTCTATTTTCAATAAAATCAGAAATAAAAAAAATATCAGAAAATCCTGGAAATACAAAAAATTAAAAAAGAAAAAAAAAATCGAATCATGAAACTTTGAGAACCAAAGCTTTTGGAAAGGGGATGGGATCGATTTTGAGAATCAAGGGAAAATCAACAAAATCATAATCAAATTGCAAGAGGAAAATGGGATCAGCAGAGGCGATTTCCACTTTATAAGCAAATTCAAGCCATAATAGACATCAATCACAACAAAGATGAGCAATAACCCAGGCATAAGAATCAAACATAGAGACACACAAGACAACAAGCATTCCTCATTCCCCAATTAGCAGCAAAGATTATTAAAAAAAAAAAAAAGACAATTGAAATACAACCCAGAAATAAGTGCAATAAAACAAGAAACATTCACCAACAAAAATCAAGCGAATTTATAGTTTAGGTTTCAGGTGTTGTTTGTCTTTAGGATTGTTTTCTGGGTTTTAACCTTCTAATAGAAAAAGGTTTTTTTATGTGGTTTTGGGTTGCTATGCGATAGTTGAAGGTGTTTAGGGTAGAGTATTCTAAGATTTTTTTTTTCTAGATATGAGTTTTTGGTGAAGTCTTCTCATAAATCTAATTCAGTAAAGAGGAAGTAGAGGTTAGAAGGAATTGAGAAAGGTTTTTTAGGTTCCTGGCACCGTCATCGACACTTGCATTCAATCAGGACTTGGGATTTTTGGATTTCCACAGTTGTGCTTCAATTTTTTAGAGACGAGTTATATCATTTGGGACTTGTAGAAAGTGAAGCAAGAAGCAAAAACATAAGAAGCCAAAAGGCTTGAGATTTTATATTTAAGGGTTGCCATTTTGAACTTGAGGCAGAAGAGGATCCGCGTTCTACTCGAACTCTGATTCAGATCCGCCCTCATGTCAACCCATCTACAGGATTTATACAATTTTGTTCGAGAAATCAAGTGATAAGATAAATTTGAACTGATTTTCGATATTGTTCGAGATCGAGTAAATTAATTGAGTTTATCAGTTTTTTTGTACTATATCATTTTTTTTTATTTCCATTATTTTTATTTCTTTCGTCTTTTTTTCATTTTCTTTGTTTTTGTTCAGAGGTGCGCATATATTGGTTTAAACCAATTTAATCTACCAAAATGGATGAAATGCTATCCTTTTGGTTCGGTTTAGTCGATTCTTTATTATAATCAATTTTGAAAGCGATTAAATTGATTAAATCGATCAATTATTAATTTTAAAATTGATAACTGAATTAATCAATCTTATAATAATTAAGGGAGCATTCAATCATTCATAAAAAAAATTTTAAAAAATTATTAAAGGTTTTTTTTTGTAAAAAACGCATTTAATAATCTTTTCAATAAATTTTTATGAGAGATTATTAAATGTAATTTTGGCCCAAAAACACCTTCAATAATCTCTCATAATTTTTAATGAGAGAATAAATACCCCCTAAAAGTTAAATATGTATATTCTTTGACAACTAATTAAAGTTTTGATCTCTTTAACATCTTAGAAAACAATGAAAAATATGTATCAAAGCAATGGGGTTCATGTATGAGAATTCTGTTAGAACTTGTACTGTCTTTTAATTAACTTTTTTATATTTTTTATGAACTTTTATATCCATTTGTCAACTCAAAGTGTCCTTAGCTTGTTTTATATTTTGTGTGAGCTGTTAGCTCAATTTGCTAATTTAAAATGTCTTTTATATTTTGCACCAAAGTCAAGAGAGTTATATTTGCATGATTTGCTTTTTTCAATTAACCTATTGAACCTTGAAAACTTGTTTATGTGTTGAAATGACAATTATTATGTGTTGTTGGCTTTGTTTGTTATTTGATATTTGTTAGAGTAATACTTTTTAAAACTTATTCTTTAATTTATTTTGATTAAACAAGTTTATATGAGTATTTATTTGTTCTTTTTCTTGTAAAATATTGTTGAAATTATTAAATTCTTTAGTGATTTAGTTTGAATGACATGTAAATTTGAGTTTTATTGGATTAAATTTGTAGCTAAATAATTATTCAAAATAGGAGAAAAATGATGAAAAGTTCAGTTATTTAACAGAACTGATCGAATCAAACCAAATTTTGGTTTGTTCGATTAAATCGGTTATTTAAAATTTTGTTGATCAGTTTAGTTACTTGTAGAATAAAAATGGGTTAATTCGGTTATTAATTTTTTTAAAACTGAATCGATCGAGTACTCACCCCTAGTTCTTTTTGCCATAATCCTATTTTTTGTCTTCATTTTGATGCATTTATTGCATTGAATACCAGCTAGCACCTCGGCCTCATTGACATACCCTGTAGCAGAAATCATGGAAGCTAAATTTTTTCCACGTTGATGCCTAATTTCTTTCTGAATCCCTTCAAAATCTGGGTATTTACATTGACTGGTGACAAGGAAAAAAGTTTTTAGAGAAAGAAACTCTGATATTGTAAAGAGAGAAAAAAAGAAAAGTAAAAAATTAGGCCTATTTATAGGCCAATCAAAACGGTGTCACTTTGGGTTTAATAGACTTGCACCTTGACCCGCCAAACCTGCGTTTCAACTCATGATCGACCCAACCCTTTTGTAAGTTTTCCTTTTGTTTTTATTTTTATTTTTTAATTTTATTTATTTTATTTTTGTTGCTTTTTGTTAGGATTTTTATAATTATTATTTTTTTAAAAATTTAAACAAAAAAAATTAATGATCATTATGAGTAATAATTTCAATAAAAAATATAAATAGCAACTTTTAATCAACAATAAAAAATGATTAAATAAAAGAAAATTAATAATTATTAGTGAAAATAGAAAAAGTTATATTTTTCCTTCATTTTATAACTAATAATATTTTTAAATTTTCGCTAAAGTGTTAGGATAATTTAAGAAATTATTGTTTACTAAAAATAAAATGCCACAAATAATAAATCAATTAAAATAATGGATTTTTTTAATAAACCTTTTGAAATGTACTTTTTAAAAAGTATTAAAGAAGTTCAGTTTTTTTTACTTATTGCAAGTAAAAATATTTTTTCGAGATTTCACCAAAGAATTGGGAAAATCTAAAAAAAATTATTTATCAAATAAATGTTTATTTAAATAATAAATAATGATAAAAATGATTAAAAAATAAAAAAATAATATTAGCAATAAAATTAATTAAATGTTTAACTCGATTAAATCTTTTGAATAAGCATTTTAAGAAAAATTGAAAAAGCTTTGTTTTTCTTAATGATTATTAGAAGAAACAGCTTTTTTAAATTTTACCAAAGAGTTGGGATATTCTTAAAATCAAATTTATAAAAATTATGATAGTAAAAATAATAATAAATAAATGATTTTTCATAATTGGTTTATAATTGAGTAAATCACATATGTCATTTGTGAATAAAAAATATCTTATGACGAAACTTAGAAAATTTTGTGAATAGTCAATTTTCTTGAAATTTTTATATATAAATATATATTTTCTATAAATTTCGTCAAAGCGTTTGAGAATTTATAGAATGTGAAAATAATCATAATTTTGTAATAAAAAATATTTTCTTAAATAAATTTTTTGGAAATTAATTTTAAATATAAAGAAGTCCATATTATCAAAATGAACAGATGACACATATTTAATTGGTATTGTTATCTGAACGGCTGATGTGAGGGTACTAATACTTTCCTCACTCATAACCTTACTCTCGGACCTAAACCTAATTCACAAACCTAAGCATCTTTTAGTAAACCTTAATTAATTTAAAGTTTTTTTTATTATAAGATGATATTTTAGGTGGCCAATCACAAGTGGTTAAAAAAAGTTGGTGGCAACATTGAAAAATTTCTTCAAGTCGAGTGATAGAGTTTCTCGGATGAAAAATCGTTACGATAGCTTGGTGACTTTGATGAGAATGCTTGAGAGTCAAGCCAAAAATTAAGTATGTGTAATCCAAACTTTGATTTAATGGTCTTTTTGAAATTTAATTTTAATTTCTTATGTTATTAAAATTTAGAAAAATTTTTGATAGTTTATTTAGTTCTTTTTATTTTTTAATTAATTATGTTATTTTATGTATTTGTTTTATATTGTTGTTAATTATGTAATATTTATATTGTGAACTTTATTTTGATTAATAATTGTTATGATCCCTCCCACACGTACACATTTGCATCCATGCATGAGCTCTATACCCGAGTTCTCAAATCTATCCCTTTAGGAAAGAATATAGTACCTACACTTTTGTGAGGTTATAATTAAACCCTTTAAACCCTTTTGTCCAC